ATTATTGGATTCCTACTGCTTGTGGGTATTTACTTCTCGTGAGGAAGGTTTTTGAATTTTAGTTGTTCCGACAGGAGTTGTGGATATTAACTGCTCAGCAACATTACGCATATAAGTTCATCACATTATCTTAGGAAAGTTGGGTTGTAGTTGGTGAGGTATATATGATGCCCGACGAGCGTACATCTGTCCATGTGATGTTGCGGAGAGTTATACCTTTTTCATGTTGTCGGTTTATGTCCATTTTATTCCACTTATTGTGTTGGGTAGAAGTTTTACAAACGAAATTTTTTGTCTGTTTGAGAGTAAGTATCCTAATTGTTAATGTTTTACCTAAAATTATAAATATAGGCAAAAAACAACAGGTGTAGTATTTAAGCTTATACATTAAATGGACCTATAATTTCGGAGGCTCTCAGATATGAACTAGGACTACTATCGTTTGCAAACTCTTGTAGTTTGTCATTAAGCACTTTTTTGAAGGAGGCCAATGTACCTGCTTGACGCATTTCCATTGGTAGTTTATTCCATATCTGTGCGTACCTAATCAAGTAAAACTCTTGCCTGGTAGCTGTTTTACATTGTTCGATAGCTACTGTACCCTTAGTGTGTCTTAGTTTGTAGCCATTGTCATCTGAAAGTCGAATGTCATTAGTAGAGGTAAAAACTAAGTGGTTTAGAAGCTTATAGTAAAGTGTCAAGTTTAGTCTCAGGCGTCTTAGCCATAGTGTTTCTAGTCCTAGGGTGTCACATCTATTGGAGTAGTTCGCACCATTTTCGGTTCCGAGTAATTTTGACGTGAAGTACCTCTGCACTCCCTCGACTTTCAATTTGTCCTCTATGCGTATACTACTATACATGAATGAACAGTAATCAAATAAAGGACGCACACAAACCTTGTACAACAGAATTCTGGACTCATTTCTGTAGGATTTTTTGAGTAGAAAGCCGATAAGTCTGCGTGACTTTGACACTTGTTTGGAGATATGTTCAGAAAATGATAAGTCATGTGAGTATTTCAGTCCTAGGTCCAATACAGATTCCAATCGTAAAAGTGCATGGCCTTGAATTGTCAGGTCAAGTTCTAAATTGTTGCAACCTATGCAGAGCCAGCCACATTTGTCGACATTAAACTGGAGTTGCCAGGTGTCACACCATCTATCCATTTTTTCTAATTCTTGCTGTATGGCGTTTACTGTTATTCCGAGATCTGTGTTCTTGCATTTATAGGTCACTTTTAAGTCATCTGCATATAGTATTGGTTTACCAACACTAAAGCATTCACAGATACTGTTTATATATATTATGAATAGGAGTGGGCCTAATACACTTCCCTGGATTACACCACTACTTACAGGTTTAGGCCTTGAGATTATCGAGCCAACTTTTGTTATCTGATTCCTGTCACGGAGAAATGATTTTATCCAGCTCAGGAGAGGGTCACATATCCCTAGTGAGCATAACCTGCTGACTAGCAGATTATGGGGGACTCTATCGAAGGCTTTTGTTATATCGAAGTATAGCACAATTACTAGTTCTCTGTTGTCCCTGCTTCGTGTAACTTCATTGAAAAAGTCTATGTGACAGGTCGCACATGATCTCTTTTTGAGGAATCCGTGTTGTGATGGGTTGATAAGTTCATGTTCTAGTAAGTTGTCTGACACTTGGTCTTTAACCACTTTCTCCATTATTCGTGATATTACCGGTGTTATATTAATAGGTCTATAGTTGCATGCACTGGTTTTGGCCCCTGCTTTGTGCTTAGGTAATATGTATGTGGTTTTCCACACTTCAGGATAAGTTCCAGTTTCCAGTGACAGAGTAAATATTCTAAGTAACAAGACTACCATTTCCGTGCTACCATTTTTGTATATGACAGATGGTATGTCGTCTGTTCCAGTACTGCCATTTGACTTCAATGTCTTAATCGCTGAGTCTATATTTTGCATATTAAAATCTATTTCTCCTAATTTGTGGTTACTTTTGCAGGTCATTTGGAAATTTGGGGTCGGGTGCACTCTGGTGTCATTGCAAAACCACTCACTGAGGAGTTCACTTATAACCTGGGGATCGTTGTATATTACACCCCTATGTTCCAAGATGCTTACATTATTGTCTTTACTGCTTTTTAGACGTTTTTGCAATATCCTACAAAGTTCCTGAGTTTTGGTGTTACCCATTAGCGCTTTATTTTCCTCATGTTGTGACTTCATTTTGTGTTTCTCTTCAAGCAGTTTAAGAGTTTCATGTATTTGGTTTAACGCATTAAATTCCTTAAATACATGGTATTTCCTTTCCAATTTCTTTAGTTTTAGTCGCGTTTTCCGGTCAATAAATGGAGTTGGTGTCTTTAGGGGCGCGATTGTGTCTCTTGCTGAGCCAACTGTTTTGTAGAAAATCTCAAGTGATGCTTCTAAGTTATTGTTGATGAAGTATTCTTCCCAGTCAGAACTTCTCAACAGATCTGATAGGAATTCCCAATCTGCATTCTTATAGTCCCTATATTGATAGCGCACCGGGGAATTTTTAGGTGTGTATTTAGTTGTTAGTCGGAGGGGTAGCGTGCAGTACAATATGTTGTGATCACTGTTATCGAGTTTATTTCCCACCTCTATCGAGATGGGCTCTATGTTATGACAGAGGATTAAGTCAAGAGTATTTTGGTTCCTTGTAGGGAGGCGCACGCACTGCTTCCATCCTCCTATGTCTATAGCTTGTAGTAGCTCTTCATGGATTCTTGGTCCTGTACAGGTATCCCAGTTTACTCCAGGTAAGTTGAAATCTCCACATACTACTTTTTAGTCGAAGTCCAGCGTGGCTACATGCTCTAGTATTTCTGCAATAGTTATATCAGTCATTTCAGGGCTATTGGGGGGTCTGTATATACATCCCACGAGAATTTTACTTTCGTTTGTGTGGATGCTTATCCACTTAGATTCTGGGAGTTTGTCAGTATTTGGGTTATTGAAAGTATTGGAGTTAGTGGATTTATAGGCATATATTAAGCAACCGCCTCCTCTTTTGTCAACTCTATCGTTCCTATAGATGTCGTAGTTGTCTATTACTAGCTTTGTGTCAGGTATATCAGTAGTAAGCCAGGTTTCAGTCACCATTATTAGTGTTGGCCGTTCTATGTATGCCAGGCAGCGAAGCGTTGTTATTTTATTAAGGAGAGATCTAGCATTCAGGAGCATAATTGTTAGTAAACCAGAGTTATTGGAGGAGAGGTTAACATGGTTACTTGTCACTATCCCTACGTTATGTTTGGAGGGGCTCTGAGGTGAGACAGAGTCAGTGTGTGTACTATTTCCTGGATGAACTGTGCAGCGAGTGGGGCTATTGTTTGCTGCAGCCGAAAATAATCCTGTTGCATATTTTGACTATTAGCATCCATGGGTCGGCATCTGCGTTCATCTACTGGTGATATATGGTCTGCCCTGCAATTTGGGTTGTAGTTTGCTGGACCTAGGTACCCTGTGTTAAGATTACCCTGGTAGTTGTACCTCATGGGGCTTTCATAGCCGTATGCATATTGGCTCACGTCACGTGTGTGAGTGAAGTTATTGAGGGGATCAAGTGTCGACCTGTTCTCATTAAGTTGATGAGGTTTAACATAGATAGTGCGAGAGTTTGGACGAGAATTTTCGTTAATATGGTGCCTATATGAGTCCCGTTTAGTGCTCCATATATCCTGAGGATCCATTCTACGTTGCATTCCCAAGTTATGTGCGTTGTTAGGCATGTTACTTCTAGTTCGGGAAGGGGTATTCCTTCTCACATGCTGCGTGACGTCTTTGGGAATGTGCTTCGTTACCCATGCTTTGTCATTTTTTAGACTGACACGCTGCTTATTAGACTTATTACGAGGGAGGTATGTCGAAGTCTGGGGTGGGACTCTGGGTTTTGTGGTCTTTTTTGCGGTTTCTACTGAGGGACTCTCTGGCTTGGATCCAGATTGAGTGTGGTCTGCCAGTAGTTTCTGGTCAGCCATAGTTTGTGCGTCTATGTCAACCTCATGTAGGTCAGCAGGTTTTCGAGATGTGCTCTCGTGCACTCTAAGATTGCACCCAGTGGCACTGCTCTTACTGAGTTTTGGGTCGCTCTTACTTGCCGTTTTTTCTCCTAACACTATACACGTGACTTGCTGTGCTTCAGTGTCCGTCGACACTTTAGCACTGATACCAGATGTATTTCTCAGTGTTGTCAACTTTGTATCGAAGGAGTTCTTGGTTGCTCGCCTTTGGTTTGGTGTTTTATCCGAGACTACTTTAATAGTCTTGAATTTAGTGGCAGTAGCCAGAAGATCTTCAGCCATCTTCAATCGTTCAGCTGTTATGTAGCTGTCGAACCTAAAGAGTGTAGGACAAGGATGCTTTAGGTCTTTTTTTACTTAGGAGGATGCACTGACAAGGTGCATTCAAGAGATTTGCAGCCTTCAGCAATGAGTGCTGGACTGACTTTATGGGCTCGCTAGCCGGCACATCATACACTATTGCGTTTTGTTTTGAAGCCAGCCTTTTGACAACTTCGCTGGATAGAAAGTCGATGGCGTTTTCTAACTCCTTCGCACTTTTTGAGTCAGTATGAGTCATTCTAGAAGTCATATTAAAGAGCTTTAGGATTGTAGGATCCTGCAGTTCCTTTTTCATATATGAGATAGTTTCGGGTCTACATTCTAGTGAACTTAATTTCGTTTTTAATTCATCTATCTGTAGCTGCACCTCTTTAATTGCGCATGCTAAGTAAGAGAGCTCTACTTTTTCAGACAGAACATCTTCCACCTCTATTACAGGGGTCAGAGTTATGTTCGAGGCTTTTATGTTGGGTGAACTACTAATAATATGGGATGGTAATGTGTTATTAGACGAGCTGGTGCTATTTTCTAAATTAGCGGTGTTCACACGAACACGCTTTTTAGAATTTTTAACCATCGTTATTAAAGATCAATTATTAGTAACCAATAAATGAATATAAACGAAAACACGTGCAAAAGCGTCACCTGATTCGAACGTACCGGGCGAATATTGTGGTTTCTTGAATATTTCGCATTACACGATATTCTTTGTGGTGCATGGTTCAATCACTCCTTAGATATTTGCATCGAAATACGATAGTGTCACATCTGCAACCACCACTAATATTGTCTGTGTTACTTTCAAAGCATAAGCTTCCTGAGCACTTCTGAGTTTCGGCGGAGAAATTCCGGCCCGCTAAATGAAAATTACCTTTCAAACCTAAAGAATTAAAACTCAAATTGCATATATTTCTTTATTCCCCCAACCGAATTATTGAACTTAAGGTCAACTGTTGTTATATACAACCGCCTGTCAGATGTCATACCTTGTGGCGCTGCTTATGTGGTGAAAATGCATAACAAACTTAAAGATTTGGAATACGCTTATATTAAGACATTGATTGGTCTGAGGACTTCATTGTCTAAGGAAGTTTCTGCTTCTATTTCTAGTAAGATTTGCTTGTGGTGATATTTCGTCCTTATAGGGATTAGACGACAATTTCAACGAGCTCAAAATGGTTAGTAATAGAGTACTTTTTTATCCTCTAGGTGTTGACAGCGAAGTCCTTCGCTTGCAGAATGAGAACGAATCTCTAAAAAGGTAGGCTCCTCTATACACTTATGTTCTTAGATCGTTAAAGCATATGGAGAATGTCATGAAAGGCAAAGAAATGGAGATAAACGGCTTGCGTAAGTCAAGTCTAAAATTACTAAGTCTCTTAGGTCGCCAAGTGCAAAGCTTTTCTTCTGGGGGAGCTATGTGCACTGTATGCTCTCGAAAAACCAATGTCACAGTTGACTCGGGTGCGGGGAGATGCATAACAAAGTCCATCTTAAATCATAAACGCCCTCATTTGAATGTAAGCTGTTTTGTCCAAATTAGTTAATGTAGTACTTTTTCCCATTTATAACTCCCTATATAGGTCTATACGCAGGTGTGAATAGGACGGAAATTCTGCACCATTCAAATATATCAATACGAGTTCAGTAGTATTGAATAGTGCGGATTTATAGTAATAGCCAACAGTAATGTGGAACTCGTTCACATCCTTTCTTGTGCGGTGCCTGTAGCACCCATATGACTAATTCTGTAGATCACCTGTGATAATCAGAAGTCGTTTCTATTATGAAACCAAGAAAAACAATGATTCTGAAAGTAAAGTAAATATTAAATTAGGATGTAAGACCACTGTATAAAAGCGATGGAATTATCTCACCTTCAATAAGACTAGTCGCAATTGCACAAAATAAAGTGGACATCCTGAATAGAGGTAGGAAGGTAGCGGGGAAAACTGTAACTAATGCCCAAATCGTATGCTTCTACTATAATTGCAATTTTGTATGGTAGTCCTGACCCAACTTCTAAGAAAACAGTTCTTAAAATGAACCTGCAGGCCTTTCTGCTCCCGTTCACTTAATTTTCAACTTAAACTAAGGTCGTCTGTCAAGCATTACTTCAATTTGCGGATAAACAGGTGACAATTGTATTGTTTCTAAGAGCGAGTCTAATTTTTCCTCTAAGCAGTTTGTTTATTTTACATTCTCTTCTCTTGCAAGGAGACCTTGACCCATGTTGCTAACCCTTAGTTTTCTAAACTTAGTAACCTAATTGGCTTTTTGATCTTACCTGTGCTGCATTTTTCATTTCTTTGGTTTTCCCTACTTACAATCTTCCTTCATAAAATTTCAGCCTACAACTAACCTTCCCTATTATTTCATTGTCATCTAAGCTTACAGAAATACATTTTTGCATCTGCTTCTTCTCAAGAAGATGCAGAAATAGGTATTATTTAGCTATTTTGCCAGGACGAGAAACAGTAGACCGGGTAACGCCAGACTTCTCCAAGACCAATAACTGTCGTGTCTCACCACTGATTGTTTCTTCAAATGCAGTCTTAATATTCATTTTAGCAAAATAAACCCATTCAGACTTCTCATCTGTTTTTCTTTCGTGTACATTTGTGTGAGTATAAACGTTCGTATTAACTAGTGCATGAGAACTGCCTACGTATGCCCCAGGAAAATACGTAGTTTTCATAATAGTTGTGATCTGGCAAGTTGCAAATTTTGAAAATTGTGGCTGAACTGCGCTCGTAAATTTTTCCTTGATACTTGAAAGACTTCAGCATCAGATGGTGCATCCGTGTTGACCTCCAGTAGCAGTGCCAAGCAACCGATCAACAAACGACCCTGTGTTCAAGACTCTGTGACGGACAGTATCCCGGACGACCGTGTCGGCACAACACCTACTGGTAAGTACTTTACTCATACGCATTATTGTTTACTGTATCAGATATTCATTCAAACAGAAACTGCATTACACTCTAGATTACTGACTTTCGATAGCTACTTCCTCGGCAGTTTTCTGTGGTTTTTTACCTTTCTCTAGTCTGATGTTTTATTTAAACGCATAAAAGCTTGGTACAGTATGACACCAAGAAGGATGCGCCATACAATAATAATAAAACAGATCAAAAGTATAGAAAGAAAGAAGGGAAAAGTATATAAGTAGAGAACGGATAAAGAACTTCATCTGGAAGGAAAACAGTCATGCTTAACAAGTTCAAACAGTATTCGTTATCTATCATCGGGAAGGGAAGAAAGAAATTGTAGCACGTGTAATAGCACGTGATAAGTTTCATTGATTGTTTGTTGCTTCATTCAATTCATTGTGTGAGGACTGAGATACTGCCCGGGCGCCCAGACCGAAGCAAGTGGTTTTATTAAGGGACCACCCCCCGAGCCTTTGACTTGGAGTCTAATCCGCAAGGCAGCGTCAGGAGCTGCATTCCCATGGTTTCCGGTGACCCATATGGGTTCATACGCCATTTGATCCGATTGGATACTGGAGCCCATGTACCCCATGGTAACTGCTTTTAGTTTAACCGCTATCTAAATAACCTTCTTGACATGGTAGGACCTACAGGGACAGAGATGATGAGAGCTTTCTAAACTAATTTCATGTGATCGCATGCAGGTGATTAGTTCCTGTAAGCCCTGATATTTGCTAAATAAACAAAGCCTACGACTCAACATTACAGAATGCCGTTGTGTTCAGTTTCAGTTCTTCCAGAACCAGCAGAATTAAGACCACCTGACTGATCAACGCGAACCCATGCACAAAATTGCACACTCTAGAAAACGACACATGGAACTAAGGAAGAAATTTATTCCACCTTTGTCAGGAAAGTTAGTGACTCGAGCTCTTTGACTTCATTGGAGGACTTTCCCTTCTCACCTAACACTACGCATAGCCTCATTATGACTAACCATGTTGCTCCGCCCAAAACGATTGTGAATGTTATCCTCTTGTCATCATCTGCTTGCCATTTCTTACTTCCCACTTTCAGCGACATAGCTGTAAAGTAGGCACCGTTTGATGGATAACTGGATACCACGCTTACACCAGTATATATATATATATATATATATATATATATATATATATATATATATATATATATATATATATATATATATATATATATATAGTGTAACTATATATATGTTACTGTGTAAAGTTCTGCTGCTTTCCCTCCTAGATCAGAAACGCCTTTTGCAACTTAAGCTGTACTAAGAGGAAACTCAGGCGGGGTTTTGATGGCGGGCAGCTTTAGCACGGCTGATTACTAATTGTCGGCATTCTGCACAGTGTCCCAGCCTTCCCATTTTAGGGATTAGTTCCCCATCGTCCTCCAATCTCACTCCGCTTCCCACAAATAAAGAAAGGAAATATTACCCAACTTCCATCTGCGTTTCCATGCAGTTGGCATACCCCTATTGTATGACGACTAATCATACTACCGACCTGCTCAGGCCTCTCTATGGGCTCCGGGATTCGCATTCGCGTCTTAGTGGTTGCTAGTCGGGCGCCTAGAATAATAAACAACAGCTTAACTGACTATAGGTATTTTAGTGCCCATTTCCCTAAATGAGCTTAGGCAGTTAACACGTATTAACTATTGCTGATGCCGCTTCTATTTCCTACACTTTCCTCATCCACCAGTACCAGCAGTCGTTGCGAAAACTTTTCGTAAGGTTTCACCTGATAAGCTCTCGTCTCTCCTCAACGCGTGGAGCCTACAGGAACCAGTCAGCCCGTACAAAGCTTCAGATATCTAGTGACTTTTGCCTACAGCTTACCAGCAGCCTTTAACATTCTTTGAATTAATCTAAGTATGATATCCGGATTCCTGAGGATAATTATTGTCAAAGATGTTTCTTGTTATTTCCTTCCTAGGCACAGACCTCATGTTACCATTGAGAGGCACGTAAAGATCTCTTAACTGCTTGTTTTCCGCTTCCAATCATCCACTGACATATATGCGCACAAATTAACGGATGATTGAAGACCCGTATACGAAAAGAAAAACAAGCCTTCTTTTGATAATCATAGAGGGATCGGCTTGACTAGTATGGTATCTAAAGTTCTAGGCTCAATATTTGTACGTAGATTAGGAAGCCCTCGGGAGAAACAAACACGAGTAAACCAGTGAAGCTTTAGACCAGGAAGAGGTTATATTGATCAAATTCTCATCCCTCCGCAGATTATGGAACATGGGCATGCTTACCAGTGCCGTATTTCTTGATCCGAAGGCTGAATTTGATTCCGTCACCTGAGCAGTATTATGACAGTGTTTGCCAGTGGAGGGAGTGCGGAAAAAGCACGTCATACCAATCAAGGTACTCCTTTCACACTCATGCAGCTGTGTGAAGGACCATGGAGAGTTTTCATCTGAAGTGAAGGCAACCAGTGGTACCCGTCGCAGATGACCACTGTCCCCATTCCTATTTAAATTCATCATAGATGTACTATCAAGGTAATGGGCGGATGCATTCACTCTTTGTGATTTATCACATCCAATACAACTCTATGGTCCTTCCATATTACTTCTCTTTTCCCCTCACACTTCTGTTTACCATCTCTCTTTACTATCTTCTCTTGTTTTGTGTGCTACATGGAGTGTGGCAACTCGAACTGCTGCACATCTGTGTGAAGTTCTACGTTGAAGCCAGTCAGTATCCGTCATGAATATTACTTTAACCAACAGAAACAATCTAGGTTTGATCACAGGTAATATTATGGTATCCATAAAATATCGTATCGATCTAGTTCCCTAAATTGACAGGATGGCGTTTTTCCATTTCTTAGCTAAACAGGATTCTCATTGCCTTGAAATTTACTTCCAGACGAGATTTTAATGACCTAGGAATTTATACATCTTGATTTTAAGTCGTTTGGAAGATGATTTTAGCACTTCATATGAATTGCTTTTACAAAGTGGTTTGCAATGCGTATTTTCTTCTCAAGTTTGAGGTTTTTTTATTGTACATCAAAAGTGTATAGTTTTCCGATCAGAGCTAAAGATTTTTTCCTTGTAGGCACTCGTAAATCCCCATCTGGGGAAAGTCAACATGATGAAACATCTGACACCGAATCAACAACATTAACAAATAGTGTGTTTCCCGTAGACTCACTTAGTCCACCTTCGGAAATATACGATGCTTCCTTAGCGATTAAAAATGCCATAAACCACAATGATTTAGTGGACTACGATGCTACATGCCAAGATTCTTCTGTGCAAGACCAACTACAATTGCCAAAAAAACGGAATGTGTAAGTTTTATATTGCACGAAGCATTTTTCTTTGGTTAAATAAGGTGTTTAAATTGCAAAAGTTTGAGGTTTGAGAATCAAACGAGATATGGCTATTGCGGTTACTACTTTGTAAAGTAGTGCAGATGTAAATATAGTTGTTCCCAACTGAGACTTCAGGAAATTTGCACTCACTGAGGAAAATCTAGAATCTGTGTTCAGCGGGAAATGTATGCAGATGAAAAAAACCATTTACTTATCAACATTTATACAATTAGTCCTACCTTCTAACAACACGGATTCTAGTTGTATATTTTGATTTATTGCACCATACGATTTTGAATGAATCGTTTGTTTGCCTGAATACGTGTATGCAATTGGGAGGTAATGATGTTTGGGAAGTGTTTGATGTAATTGTTATTATGAAACTTCACACTGAAACGAATAATTAGATTCCAGGGAATGCCATAGGAAGAACGTGAACTTATATGAATACATTTATTGGCTACTTGGGTGTAACCAATGCCATTTGTATAATACTTTGTTCTGGTACTGAGTGAATTCTCTCAGTCGGGTTTGCAGTATGGTCACCAAACTGGGCGATCTGCAATTACCATGCACTTCTAGTTGATATCAGTTGACTTGTGTCGGTGAACTGTGTGCCTTTATCGTGCGAGACGTATTTTCTGATATCAATAAACATTACTGTATAACACTGAGACTTTATCACAACAAAGATTTACACATAATGGAATTATACTCTACCGCAGTGCACAAGTTTTATTCTTATATCAATTTCTAACTTACACTGCTAAATCCATAAATCCCTGTTCTTTTATGAAATTATTTCATTTTTTTTTACTCGGGTGTAGTTCCATTTCACTATTACATTTCATTAAAACATTTTACCTAAGATTTCGAAAAAATTTAAAATCCTTTACTAAAACGAGTTACTGTTCGTTCCTAGGCACCAGTTTTTATACAATAGACGAAACAGGCCCGTTGGCGCTGCGTCTGCCCCACGTAAAATTACTAACAAGCTATTGACAAGTGGTTTTAACAGCGACGTTCGTCGTTATAAGGCGGAAGACAAACATCGACCTTCCTGTCATCACTTTCGTCCTACTGCTCCCACGAAGCCAAGAAGCGACGATACTGGTGATGATGTAAGCTCTCCATCTGGCTTTCTCGAGGCAGAAACAATTCCTCTTCCTGTGTCTGTCACCAGCGGTAAGTTTGTTTGGGAATATAGATAACTTTATCTTTCAGTGAATTGACTTGGTATGTATACATATTTTCTCAATGGCGTATTTTAATAGTTAGGCTATTTCATTCACCTATTTCGCTTTATGAATTTGAGTAAAGCAAACAACGGTTTCAGCAGAATAAGATAATTTTGTTTCATCCGTTTCTTGTCAGCTGGATACAACCTGAAAAATTATTAGGCATGTATGCAGAGGGGTTTTAACGTACTTGCAAAGGCAATATGATGTCAGTTAATAGGAGACTGTAATAATAAATTGTACTCCAAGGCATGTAAAAGACAAATGCATTGTTCAAATTTATCAAAGGGACTAATTTTTTTAAACTTATATATAACTTTAAGAAATTAGATGCTTCGTTCATTAACCTACAAAGTAGATTCCTAATCATTCGTTAACGACTGGCTGCATATACTGTGAATGATAAATTTCAATTAGTTGAAAGCCTAGGCCATAATAACGTTTCCAATCAGTTCATATTGTGATTTGATGTAACTCTGGTTCACATGCATCCTGATTCATGAGACTATATTATTTGTTAGCATTTTGTACTTCCTGTACAAGTGCTGGAATTTAAACGCCTACTAATGGTGTGTAACATGGATGTGCTATTCCGATTTGATAATGCTGTCTACCGTCAAGTAGATGATATAGCTATGGTCAATCCACTAGGTCCTGTATTAACAGACACCATGTTTATTTTAAAGAGAACAAAGCTGAAATGTACAATCGACGAAACAACTTATTGTCGATGTGTTGATAACACATTCGTGACAATGGAACCTATGCATCCTATCTATTTGGACTATTCAGTTATAAACATGGAAATACTGAGTTTACTGTGTCACATAAAGGTAAAGGGAAGTTGTCTTCTTGACTTTGCGGTTCAGTGCTTGAGAGATCCCTTCAGTGAGTCTGTGTGGAATGAACAATTTATGGGTCTCACTAGTTTTTGTTCGGTCAGCTGTAAACTAGCATATGTCAAGACCGTGTTTTGCAGAGTGAAGATTATGCCCCATTGAAAAATTGGAAAAAATAATGGATTTTATGATATAACGGTTATTCACAGGAATTCATTAATAAGTAAGGAAGGTCTGAAGATATAACTGCAAGACATCACAGTGATTTTAAAGGTGATAATTTTACTGGGATAGTCAAGAGAAGATTGAACACTTCACCAGTCATAATATATTCTACATCTAAGTTGGTTCCTGTTTACCAAACGACATGCTCTTTGGTGCAATCACAGGTCAGTAGTTAGCCTACCCCTGTTAATTCTTACAATGTATTCAGATTTACTTGTATTTTTAGTAGCAGTTACATTGTAGAAAAGAAAGATAGCACACTTTAGGTTCTCTGAATATTCACTGAGGCAACGCTTTCAACAGTCATGAAGTAAATATCTCAAAGTTATTAGGTCTGCTGAAACGACTGCTATCAAATGTTTAAAACTTGCTTTGCGTTCAGAAAGTAACAGTAATCAGTCTTTCTTTGTCCTGATAACTCAAATTCTTAACTCTGTTATATTTGATTGCGTAATCTTTTGCTTTAACCTCTTCGCTTTTGTTATACTATAATTGGTTTCTCTTTGTAGTATTATTTGAGTTGAACTCATCACATTACCGCTCATTATAACAGTCACGTATCACCAACTTATCCATCCTTTACCTTCCCTATGTAACCGCCCTTTCAAAGTATCCCAATTAAAAAAATTAAATGTTACCATCTTATTTTTACTCAAACCGTTGCTTTTAAGTTAGAACACCACGTAAGACTATAATACTACCTTTAAGATTCCTATGGTTTAGCTGATTGTTTAATATTTCTCTTACTTCATGAATTCTCTTCGTGCATATTCATCCAGAGCATTTCTTAATGAACAATATTGATCAGGTTACACTTTGGTTGAGAAAAAGCAGTTCTAAAGAAAGCCAGACAAACATAGAAGTAATCCATGAAGTCTCTAGCTGCTAGTTTTAGCTACTTAATGCTGTTCCGAGTATCCTTGTGGCATCTTGAGCCTAACCTAGATCATGTGATTGTCCCTTGGATTATTTGACAGTCAGTAGCAAGGTTCTGAAATCCATCAGTCTGTAAATTTTGTTTTCTACACATGTTTGTTCGTTGTCGTATCAGTACACTTCTCATTTCTTGTGTTGTTTGGTATGTAATAACGCACTTTTCAATATTCTGCGTTGATTTGGTTATCCGTCTGGCTTATTTTACGTGATGACGGGTGATGCACTCGAAATCCAATCAGTAGACCACAGATGCCTAATTTGATATGATTATGAACAATAAATTTCGTTCGAAACGTCATCCAGTAAATAATACTGTTTCACTGTGTGATACATCTAATAAACAAACTAATATGGAATGCCTAATTTTAATATTAGGTGGTTGGAGGCAATCGGCAGGAAGCCTTCGAACTGGGTTTCGTGCTAGTTGGCACTCATCAGCAAGGCGTATCTGCAACCTTGAAGGAACTCATGTCCCTTCTGAGATTCGAGTTCGCGTCACCCAGTGCTGCAGTCAGAGACGTTACCACTGAGCTATTCAGACTCGCGAGTTCCTTCAAGGTTGCAGATACGCCTTGCTGATGAGTGCCAACTAGCACGAAACCCAGGGCAAAGGCTTCTTGCCGATTGCCTCCAACCATCTAATACCAACATCTCACAGTGCACCGTAATGGCGAGCCACCTAGCATGGTGGCCACATTGCAAGCTTGACTGGTAGAATTCAGTCTACACCGAAGATAGGACTAGACAGATTACACTAGTTACCGACTAGTGTGCAATCAAAAATGCCTAATTTTATTCGCCTGAACAATTAGTATGAGACATCATATCAAGTGTAACCCATAACTTATGAGATGAGCTTTGGCTAGATGATTGAATTTCACGTTTTCCAATATTTCCTGAATAATTAATACCAGCAGACTAAATGAAAGGAGTATTACTCTGTCCTTCAGTACCTCAATCTGGAAACACAGTTTGCGTATTTCCCAGCATCTCTTTGCCTAAGGTACATGAATGTAAATAGTGCCAGTGCCTTACTCAAAACTGTTTGAAAAGAATTAACTTCGTTGCAAAACTGTTATATATATATATATATATATATATATATATATATATATATATATATATATCGATGTTACTGCATTCAGCGGTAGACATTGAAAGGAAATTGAAGTGTTTTTTATTCACGCAAAACCCAAGCAGTTGATTAGGCACTTAACCCTAGATAAGATTTATAGTTAAATTGAGATCATATTCACATCTTTTCCCTGTACATTTGCAGAGTACCCAAAGAATCTCAAGTTGAAAATCCATTTACCTTCCATTGGCGGTTCCCCCACTCGTGACGATGCGGATTTCAAGTGTCCATTACCCCCGGAATGTAGAAATCCCGCCGACAATATACTTCATTCTTCCACGAATATTCATGCCAAAGTAAGCTCTCTTAGTCTTCTGTTTTCGTAATTAATATCCCTGACAGTGTTTGGAAGTAGCGACTTCAGTGGTACAGGTACAGAATGAAAACTTATTATGTTTTAACTGTAGTTTGAGCTACACCAATACCTTGATTACCCCTTGACAACAACATATACACATATTTTTATTCCAAAATGGGGACGATGATCTTGTTGGCATATTTCTGTCTGTCTGGATTCAACATAGAACTTGGCACCGAAGTGCAGCAGTTCGAGTTGCCACGTTCCAAATAGCACACAGAGGTAGACAAGAAGATGAGTTAAGAGAATTAATAGAGTTTGACAAATATAGGAGTGAAACAGAATGGGTAATGGTAGAAAGGAATATGAAAGATTACAGAGATTGAATACATCTGCGCCATTGACAACGATTTTGAGCCATGTCACCTATTGTCTCCAGCCATTGATTTCTAGAGTCCCGAGGACCCCAACCCGGAGTCTGCATCTCCCTACCTGACTCAGTTTAACTGTCAAGGATTTCATGGTTGATGCCATGTTTTTGTTTGGCCACCACTGGCTCTTTTCCAACCTGCACCTATATCAGCTAACAATGCCCGTCGGGGAGGCGGTGGTTAGGCATGCGCACCACGTGACCTAGCCATCTTAGTCTATGTAGAATACTGAAGACTGTCAGTAGGGTGAGTGGTGTCCCAGTGGACCACATAGTTAACATTGTTGTCGATAGGCACTTGACTTCGTGCAATAAATTTGCTAAAGGGATTTTGTCTAACTTGGAGCATCCGCTTTACCCTCAGCTTTCACCTTGCATCTCCTCAGGTAGAACAAGGAGTAACTTCAGAAAACTGTATGCTCGCACGTCTAAGTATAAAAATTCTATGATACCATACTTGGCACGTACTTTATGTGATGAAAATAGTGTCAGGCAAGAATTAACTAACCTTTTTTCATCTAGTAAATAAACAATTTCCTCCATCCATCCTTATATACCTTGAAGTGTTACTTGTATTATTTCTATTATATTTATGGTCCTGTTACTTCTCTGTTTTTTACTCTCAGAATTGCAAACACCAACTTATCTCCATGACGGCAGTAATCTTTGTTTTTCCCCTCACCATATCATATAAAAAGAACATTGTATTCAATATTTTTAAACATGTTAGGATTTCTATACCACATTGCCAATACCTTGTGGCACAAGCCAACGGCAATTTTCGCTTATATTCTTATTATTATTACCCTAGCTGTTATCATTATTATTGTTATTTCCATTCTATATGCTGCGTGTTTTTGACACTACCTCTATTGTAAATGTGGAAAATTTTCTGTGTGATTAGTTTTTATTTATAATTTGAGGAAATTAGATGCAATATTGTGATTAATGCTGAAAATTCCATTCTGTATCACAAGTACTGTTTTTGGAATAAAGTAAATCATTATTATTATTATTTCTCATTTCATCTTAATCACCTTTATTTTTCGTGCAGTGTTCCTACCGGTTTAATTCCAGTGGTCGACCTAGTACACTGTGTCTTCTTTGGTCTTCGGACTAGACATTTTCCGACATAAGGAAAAAGCGCGACGTAACTGTAGATGGGGAACATAGGAAACGTTGGTGTTCAATGCATCCGGGAACATGACTATCTTTAACATATATATAAGGAATATGTTTACTTGATCATTAGAAGTGTGTTTAAAATTTCATGCTTTCTAGGGAACTTTGACATAGTGAAATCTCGTTAGGCATACATTGATTTGATTTTTTGTCGTCGCGTGAATAAGTAGTAGTATTATTTATCTTCCTGAGCACTAAATTTTTAAGATCATCCCCTTGAACAATTAAAAATATCCTCCTAAGTAGTAGATATATAGAAATATTGCATATTCGATGGATTATCTCAGTTGTCTTAATGTAGACTTTCCTTTCAACACTCTAGGTTAACGCGGATCATATAATACCTGAGGAAGCAGACGCAAACAAAGAAAATATTAAGAAGAATATTTTTACTTGTGATCATTGTGATCGTGTGTACAAACGTAGAACTTCTCTACACCGGCACCAAAACGAAGCTCACTTAAAGGTTAGATGATAATTCTCTTTTTCTTCACACATTTTGTGTGGAAATGAATTACTACCTATTAAATTGTTCCGTAGAAATTTGATGAAATGTTTAATAACCTCAAATGATGAAACATCCTAAAATATTTTGGAGGAGTTTTTTATATTATATTATAGTTTGAAATTAACATAAATTGGCTGGTTAATTCAGAGGTGGTAATAAAGATTGCATACATACTTGAAATCACAAATTCTAATAATCTATTCAGTGAACTTCTGGTAATTAATCTACATAATTGTCGGCCTATTGATATCATTTTGAGAAACTTAAAATACTTAATGAAGATAGAAATATGAGTCATTCCATTTCGAAGGGGAATTTGTTGCTAAGATTGTCAATTTTTCCCTGCAGTTTAAGTCCAATTCATAATCTAGCTGGCGAAATTAGCAATTAATGAAGACGATCGAGCGGCACAAAGTAGACGTTACTGTTCTATATCTAAACTCAAGAGGTGTATACAAAGCCAAGATGTTTTTCGTCAACAAAATAAGGAATAATCACCTCGTCATATGTAGTAGCTTAATTATGTGTTTCAGAGTGTCCAATTAACGATGTTGCATCAGATTCACCTATGCTAACAGTGCCGATTCGATAGCTTTTTTTAAATTTCTACTCATGACAGTGGAAATTGTACAAACAAAGACTATGATGATCGTTGTATGTTTCAAAATGGTCTACAGTTCATCGTCCACTGGTGTTAAAGTTTCCTCCTAATTACTACGAGGTATCATTTCATCATACAAAAGCATTACAATTAATTCCTTGTTGTCATTCGTAAATAGAAAGTCAGATAACGAAGGAGTTCACTAGGTTTTATACCTTCTCTAATTTAACATTTATGTAACACATGTCAAGCATCTTTTGATTATTTTCTTGATTTCATTATTAGATCCTAAGAAATTTCCCTAGATTATCTTAAAAATTTTTTTTATGAAATCAGTTAGTATTCAACACAAATTCACTTTGTTCACTGGGAAATTTAAATGGGTGCTAAGCTTTATTTGGCTTTCTACATATTAGTTGAAATATGCTTTTGTAATCGTGTTGAATCGCGTTTGTATTTTCTATGATTAATTTAATATAGGATGATAAAGTAAGAGCCAAAAAGTCATTCAATAACAGATGTCCATCAACGCCAACAGGTTTTTGGGATCTTGATTTGGAGCAATGTGAGAGTAATGATAACGTTGACGAAAAGGAGAATACCAAAGATATAGACAAAAATGGTGTTGAAGATACTTCACATTATGGTCTTCGTCGTCGTCGTCACCCTCTAAGCTTTCGTTCAATTCAGCGTGATATGTGACCAATTTCATTTATTTTAATTAACTCAGTTAACTGTTCATTACTACCTTTTTTATGTGGTCCGTATACTAAGTTTAGTGTAACGGAGAATAACCAAAGCTTTTTCTTCATATATTTTTTCAAAATAAAGTCATTCACTTCATTTCGTTGGTCCAGAGAATTTCTACTAAGGGTTACCTAAAGTTTTTCGTCTTAGATAGACAGACTGATAGAATCAACAGTGTAATACCATTCTCGCTTGAGTAACTTTCGACTATGAACATCTGTAAGTGTGCTGCAAGTACCAACTGTGAACAGACCTCTGTTTCTAACATTTCTGTAATAAAGGATTCCATCTAGACACCTATCTATCGTATATAGATATAGGCGATTCGTCTAAATAGTTCTGAGAACTGAAGATACCATCCTTTGCTACATTGAAGTAGTCCCTCATTAACTTAACGATGAGGCATTTTTGTAATAGCTTCATCAGTTTCCTGTATCTACTTTAGTATTGAAAATCCACACAGTTATTGACGAACCTTTACTTTGTATTAGTTTACCGTCCTGTAAAATGAGTCATTTTACTAAGGTGCTTTTGACTTCTTACTTGATAAATGTAGACTTTTGGAGCTCAGATTTTGAAAGGCCTTCTGTAAGCCTTCCATAAATGTAGCGGTAATGGTGTGGTGAGAGCAGGCTGCTAGCCGATTGGTTGGCACTAATCTACGTTAAGGTCTAGGTCACTAATATGGGCCGTGAGAAAATATGAACAAGGCTGAGTCAACAACCAATCACAGCAAAGTTAACGTGGCAGAATATGATTCGCAGAGAGAACTCTATTTGTCAAGGAATCCCGAAACAACCAATCAGAAGCCTGCGTTTGTCTACCTAAACAACCAATCAGATGACTGCGCTTGTCTATAATAATGTAGTTGAAAGATGTATAAATACGTGTTGATTTTCATAATAAAACGATCTGTTGCCTGGTCCTTGTCTTCTGTTGTTACATTTGGTGTCGCTGCCTACCGACAAATGGAAAGCCTATGCCCTGCTGTTTTTGATGGAGACATATGGATCTTCGGGCAGGACTTCAAGGCTTCTGCGCAGTTGAGTGGCGTTCAAGATCTGTCAGCGATGGAGCTGCTACTTGGGACGCTGCTGGGAGGTCGGGTGAAAGCAGCATATGAAAGTGTGAGCCGAAGTATGGACGAATGTTCGACAGGGTCAGGCAAACAGTTTCCAAAGTGGGAAGGACCATATATGGTCACTTCGAGATGGGGTTACGCAGACACAGTCGCAATGGCGAACAATGAGAGGCGCGTGAACGTCAGTGAGCTCCAGAAATGGATACAGCGAGACAAGCCAACGATGACGCCTGCACCAAGTAGATCAAGCCGACTTCAGTCGCACGTATTTGACGGGGGGACGAGTGTGGTGAGAGCAGGCTGCTAGCCGATTGGTTGGCACTAATCTACGTTAAGGTCTAGGTCACTAATATGGGCCGTGAGAAAATATGAACAAGGCTGAGTCAACAACCAATCACAGCAAAGTTAACGTGGCAGAATATGATTCGCAGAGAGAACTCTATTTGTCAAGGAATCCCGAAACAACCAATCAGAAGCCTGCGTTTGTCTACCTAAACAACCAATCAGATGACTGCGCTTGTCTATAATAATGTAGTTGAAAGATGTATAAATACGTGTTGATTTTCATAATAAAACGATCTGTTGCCTGGTCCTTGTCTTCTGTTGTTACAATGGTAGTTTCACTACGCATTGATTGGTTGCTCTCAATCCCCCGTAAGTTTATAGAGAAAGTGTTTGTTAAGCTTTTTGTGGCGCCTTGACTACTTGGATTTCCTTTAGGACCTTCGCTTCGTTGGTTGGATGACAGTATTGCTATAGGCTAACTAACCTCTTCGTAAGCGGTCTACCCTGCGTTCCAGACGTCTTTGCAGAGCGCTAATCAGCATACCGTTTGGTTCAATAGAGTTTCTGTTTACCAGTTCACACTACTTCATACACTCAAAAGAACAGTCAGCTGAATAAAGAACTTTCCTTATATTTTGGTCCAGGGCTGCTTAGCATCTCCTTAAACTTATCTTATTGTGGATAGGAAGACACATCGTGTTAAGCAAGTGACAGCCATTCAAATGTGTCTAGTTAAAAACCAAATGTCCCTACAGTGTAGTTGTAGGGGCGCTATTATTTCAGGGTATACTACCTTATAAACGATGGTCAATTGAAGGCCAGGGAGTGCTGAGACGTTTCGTTCCAATCTGAGACCCTTCAGTTTAAGTGTCAAGTCACTACAAGCGCTTGCAACGTTCTTTTTTGTTTTGACTTCACATTTAGTTTTTGTTTTTTTCCTGGGTGAACTATTGCATCTTTCTTATTCAGTCAAAAGAGTGATTTACTGCACCTTGATGTACATGGAAGCTTGTGTTCTGTAGTAGTAAGAGCCTAATTTCCAATTGTTAGTTGTTAAAAATGTAGCATTAAATTTTGTTTATCCATCATTAATTGCGAATTTTGATAATAGACAACTACGTAACGCCAACTATGTTGAAGTAGGAATTGATTATTTCTCTCATATATCCCTTCGTGATTACCCATATAACGCTTCGTTCTAATGCTATAGTACTTCTAACAATTAAGTAGACCGCTAGAACACATCAGATTCACTACATAAAACAACTTCATTCATATCATCAACTCCACGCTGCTTCAAGATACCATGAATAAAAGAATCCAAATAACAGCTTATTTTTTCAAGCTGAAACAAGAGATTTTAAAATGGGAAGTCCTCAATATTAAGAAAGTGAATATTATTTATACTTCTGGTCGTCGTCATTCTATGCACAATATGAAATATCGTGTTCATGGATTTCGGAAAGGGATTGTAGGTTGGCAAAACCTAGCACTAATTCAACAGTCCAAGTGTCCTTGTTAGGGGTTACTTTCAATTTCTTAGTTTTGAAAATATGCACATTTTACTATATTTGTTGGAACATGTTATAACCATTCTGAAGCGATCTTACACTATTTTATTAAGAGAAGGCCAAATAAATGATTAGATTTTGTCTCATCAGGATTTACTAGCCTTTCATAGTGGATTTATAATGTATAGAAACCTACAAATCTATGTGGATAGAGAATTACGTTGAAAAAACATTTAAGTCAAGGAATAACCTTTTCTGTGGTGATAAATTTGTCACGTCCCACTCTTGACCAGTGGACTTTTCCACCGAAGTCTTGACTCTTCCTTTAGTTTGCGTTATCCAGTGTCAGCCGAGAGCATTAGTGATGTGACTGGCTTAGATTTGTGAACCCTGGCCAGAGCTAAATTACGCAAATCTGCTTCTTAGCAGGATCACATGCTCTAATTCAGATTACCAAATAAGCATGAAAAGTGGATAGTTGAGATAAGCAGCCTTCTTGAACAATGAACATTCACATTTATCTCATTGCAGATAATACCAAGAGCAGGAAACTCAGATATGTATAAGTTCAATACTGAATGAAACCATTTGCTTGTCACTTTTTAAAGCTTTTTTACATTTAAGTAATTAAACTTTAGGTCTGATGTACAGTAAATCCATAGTTTCAACTTTCACTTCGAAGATAATTTTTCATCACTTATTACCCTACCAATCTTTGAATTGACCAGTTAGTTTTCATTGGTTAAGTGTGGTAATTGAAGTGCAACTAAAACCTCGAAGAGCCATAGACTTTGACCTTTTTCTTGTAAGTGTACAGCATTATTAACCGGTCTGAGAGACTTCCGAACTCAGATGGTAATCTAAGGGTTATAATCCTGTAGTTTCGCATGCTAGATTCTTTTGCAATCCTCACAAATCATATGTATCATATGACCTCGCTAATCTGAATATAGTCTCAGTAGTCATTCTTAATATATTTATCAATATTAATACCTCTATTACGAGTATAGTTCGTACTATTTATCTGATGTCGTTTCATCCCTATAGATAATTTATTAATACATCCTAGAACACATTTTCTATGATCATTTTGTTGAACCAATTAGACAATAATGAGATGAAGTCGTTTCCTGTCACTACCATAAATTAAGACGTACAACTGTTCGAAATTCATTTATTTAAACTTAACTTTTGATTCGCGTAGCTATTTATATTTCTAGATAAAAATTGGGATTCAACAGGTTACAGCATATGAATCGATGGTGGCTGGATTTGAGTTTGACTTAGGATGTGATGACACACTTTTGATTGTAGATATATCTAGATGACGAGTCGCGAATAGAGTGAAATGCGTACAATGATAGCATGGTCGTCAAAGATAGAGAACCTCGAGTCCCAACTGCACCTCTATGCACTCGACAACCTTATCTCTAACTAATGATTAAGATGGAGAAGGGGGTACCAGGCTGGCAACCTCCTTACCCCCGAAAAAATAACCCAACAACATTACTACTGAAAGTTAACCATTTGAAACCATCCATATATATATATATATATATATATATATATATATATATATATATATATGTAAGAGTATCGATGTATAAGCGTTTATTTCGAAAAACCTGTGGATTATTATTATTGTTATTATTATGAAAAGATAAAAATTCACAGAAAATACTAATCAAAATGTAAATATCAAAACAATATGAAGAAAAATATAAATTCATTAAAAAAACTATAAAAAATAAAATGATACACATTGTATTATTACTAAACAACATAAATAAAAAAACAAAACGAAGCATGAAAACCACTTTTTGTCATTAGACAAAGTTAACAGCGCCAATTGTCGGCTATGAATTCACACGTTATAAAGGGATTAGAGAGAAATACTGTTAATTTCATAGAATTTGAAACTTCACCGGTTTCCACTAATATATATATATATACTGGTTTAATGCAGCATTTGAATACGAAATGGTAATATGGGATAATGTAAAGTGCTTGCATATTTGTGTAAACATCAATATCGGCTCTACATACTTAAGATTATACACATAGCAAGTAAAACAAAACCCAGGAAAATAATCAGAATCCGTAAATATTATTTTTTGTTAAAAACCGAACGTACCCAAATATCAGTTTAAGAATTTTAATCAGCTATTTTGGAAAATAATACAAATACTACTTCTACTAACGAAAACCGTAGTATAAATAGAAAAATAAGTTTTTATAAAGGTTGAATAACACTGGGCTGTGATGGTGGTGATAACGTTGACGAGTATTCATTATGCTGTTGTATAGAATAATTAGAAGTGACTGAATTTAAATGATGTGTAAAGTGTGAATTGTTTGAGGCTAATGATCCTAATTCTGATCTACTACACTCATCATCAGATCGATTTGATTTTACTCTTTTTATTGCATTAATTGTATCTAAACAGGCTTGAATTGCACGACAATTTTGGATTACCTCTGGTGGATTAGCATCAGCATCAAGTTTAGCTGTTAACTGTTGTATTGTATTCAATATTTTAATGAGTATATCATCTTGAATTTGATTATATAAAAATTGATCATCATTTTGATGAATAGAGGTTAGCATATCTGAATTAGACATAGGAAGACAATTTGAATGAGCAGTATAATTGGCTTTGGATTGAACTTTATTTACTGTTCCATTTGTATTAGATAGTGAAGTTGATGTGTTCTGTGGAACATAGTTTACAGATTTCTCATTGATAACTGGAAATGCAAAGATGTTAAAAACACTCAATCTATTTAACAAATCTCAATTAATAACTTCAGTTACAACATGAAAAGAATATATAAAATATAATGCTTTATGCTAATCATTTTGATTAATTTTCATATACAAAATTAAAGGCGATGAGTCATTAAATTACTTCTGATTAATTGGTGAACTTAGTCGAATAGGACGATCGAACTTGAAAATTAATCTGATGCTCACTAGTGGTTCATACAGGATGAAGTTGCCCAGAGTTCTAGTGAGAAATCGTCACCGAAGTTGACTGTAGGGTGGTCAGGTGCTCGCCGATGACATTGGCTGGTGCTGATTCTGTATGTCACGAATTAGCACAAGTTATAATAACTCATGGACCACTGAGTTCTGTTCAACTGGTGGAATGGTCAACAGGATCGCCTTATAACTAAAAGATCCCAGGGTGCATGCTGATGCGCGATTCGCTCCCGTCAAATGCAAGATGATGGTACAGGACTGGACTACACTGACTCCTAGTTTACAAATAGGGGATGAAGAGCACGTTGACCGCTTCACTTATTTGGGAAGTGCTATCAGCCCCAACGGGTTGGTTTGATGAAATCTCAGCATGGATACAGAGGGCTAGTTTCGCATATGCCAGTTTACTCCGTCTCTGGCTTAGTAGACGTGACATCCGACTATCGATTAAAGGGCGGGTGCACTGCTCATCAGTCCGCTCCGTCCTCCTTTATGGCTGTGAGACTTGGCCATTAAGAGTGGAAGACATGAAAAGATTAGCTGTCTTTGACCATTGGTGCCTGTGCTCTATCTCTCGTGTGAAGTGGTATAATAAGGTGAGCAATATTGAGGTTAGGCGTCGAGTTCTAGGTAAGGAGGGGAAATCAGTCGACGAGGCTGTGAAATTATATCGACTGAGATGGTTAGGACATGTGTTACGTATGCCTAGTCATCGCCTGCCTCGACCGACGGGCAATGTTAGCTGACATAGTTTCAGGCTGGAAAAGAGCTAGCTAGTGGTGGTCAAACCAAAACATGCCACCAGTCAATGAAATCTACAACAGTTAGTCTAAGCCAGCCACGTAGGAATGTGTAGACTTCCTGACTGGTTCGGGTCCTTGGGACGGTAGAAACCAGTGGTTAGAAACAATTGGTGATATGGCTCAAAATCGTTGTCAATGGTTGGCGCAGATGCATCCACTCCTTATGATTTCCAATGAAACTATATTTTTCTTCGTTCGTTATTACTATTCCTTTGTTTCACACCTCTGTTTACTGTCTCTATTATGTATTTCTTCTACTTTCTTCTCTTGGTTTGTGTGCTACATGGAGTGTGGCGACTTGAATAGCCGCACATATGTGCAAAGATCTATATCAAAAACAGACAGACTGATGAATAGTCATCAGCTAGGGCAAAATACCTCCCTAGTACTCACTAATTTTTCAGTAATTCTCCAAATGATGTCAATTCGCAGCCTAACTTGAAATCAATCAACACCCTGCAAACGAATATTTGCAAATGAAAAGAGATATGTGCTTGTCTCCTATTTCTGAGTGACTTTAAAGGATATCTCTGCAACTAAATGAGCAATCAATCAGATTTCCATTTAATTAGGAAAGAAAGCACCTATCCACAATACTGACACCTGATTGGTTATGCATTTGGTGAGTGACAAAAAATATCTCAGTATAGCGATGCTAGTACCAAATGCATGTCTGATAGCTATGACAAGTTTAGTTACCAAGGTGACCTATATATATATATCATTTAACATGCTGGTTAACAATTTTTAAAGTTAGAAACTAAAACCATCTAGTGAAGAGAATTTGTGACATGTAAATGTCAGTAGTACATGATAAGTGGTATATAATCACACCCATTTTGGGATGATAACAGTTATGAATTTGAAACATGATCTGTCTGTTGTAGACTGTGTGTACCATGAGCAGTAAATAACTTGTGAGATATTACACCACTAGAATAAAAACATTTGATATTTGACTGTTCTATTCTGCTCAGTACAGTCTTCATACTACATATTGACAGATGATAGATGAAATGTAGAATTTCCTTCAAAATGAAAAAAAATTCAATTAGAATTAAGGAGATACATGTCAACTCCGAATGTTTTTTATTTGGTTGGGTGATACATTTTGGTTGGTTGAACATTCTTCATAACAAGAATAAAGATTCACATTCCTGTAGCTAAATTCAATTTAGACTGTTTAGACAGCTTAACTCTGGCCTGTGATTGGTTATTAATTAATGGTCTAAACAGACATGATATGAGTCATTCATGTCAATGTTTATACAACGTCAAAAAAATAAAAATAAAGGTACTCGACATGTCCAATGTCATTAAGATTTCCTACTTAGTATGTATATTTGCATACCAATTTTACGATAAATAGATAAGCTTATAAACACAATCATTTCCCATAACATACTGATAAGTATTAGTTTTGCCTTTTATTTGTACTATCAAATAAAAAAAAAATTCCCATCTTTTCTCTCCATTTAATGAATGTAGTAGTGAAAACCACTACTACTTATAAATAGAATGTATTAGAACTAGTCAAATCCTGCAGATATACCTTCCACTCGAATATATATATATATATATATATATATATATATATATATATATATATATATATATATATATACTATTGTTATAGAATGAAGGACATGCATGCAAACAAAAAGTTTTTATACATATAACTATAGCGATATACAAAGTTTGCGAATATGTTCCTGATAAACTAGTCATCCAACTCATGTGAACATAGACTGTGTACATTATAAAAAGCCAACTACCATGGCGAAAAAAATTAAAGCAAAAAGTATATATAAAAACATTAAACATCATAAAAAGAGTTAATCAAACAAAACAATGAAAGAAGGTTAGGAAATGGAAAGTGTAGATTATTTGTGACTCATCACGTGATTAATGTATATATCATAACGAAGATAGATTCACTTTTTCAAATAAAATACAAGTCTTAAATAGTTGGTTTATAAGGATAAGATTTGTTTTTACGAGTTGATCACGGATTGATTGAAAAACTAGGGAGTAATGGACAGCTGTTTTAGCCTAGTTTGGGAATCATCGGCAGTACACACCCACCGGTGTTCAAACCCAGGACATTCAGGTTACATGGTTACACAGCTGTCCACTACTCCCTGGTTCTTTATCAATCCGTGATCAACTCGTAAAAAAATACAAATCACTAGGTAAATATTGCAAATATATATGAATTAAGTTTTATTCAATTCAATGGTAAATGGGTGTGAAGAGACATTCGATTCCCGAAATACGCTCCGCTAAACCTTACTTAGACGGTAGCAAGGCCAGTAAAGAGAAGAGGTTAGGCGGAAAACTAGAGACCCCCCCCCCAAAAAAAAATACATCGCCGTTACTAAAACTTCAGATCTCATGCTTGAAACCCTATGCTCCGCTTAGGACACAAAGAAATGAAGAAAATAGACGAATTCGACGAAAGGAGACTCTTCTCTGAACTACGCGTTTTGTTTTCACCAATGCCTGGGTGGTGATTATTCAATTCATGAAGCAAACGTTATTCACAGAAAGATTTGAACTAGTGATATCCAGGTTAGTGACATAGAGTTCTACTTATAATGTCACGAAATATAGACGCTAACCAGTTATTTTTAAAATTTAGTCAAAAACTGGATTTTATGGTTCAGGCAGTAGACTGACTTATTTGTAAATTGCATACTACTTAGTAGAATTCAAATCACTCGTTTCAACCACCATAACAACTCCATTAAAACATTGGAGTTGCTATTTGAAACAGCTTCCTCAACTTAGAAATGCAATTTTTTTTCAAATAGGCTACAGATTACTAAAAATCAATATACTATTATATAAATAAACAACTATAAACTGTTACATCACACTATAATCGTGTCAATCGCTACAATATTTACAAGTAAGGAGTCATGAATGTCTAACGTTTCAAAGTCATCTTACAGAGTATTCCAATCAGATATTTTGCCAATAAGCTAATTAATTTGTGTATTACTCTATAAAGTATATTAGCAAGTGTTTGATTTTGAATCTTAATATTTCTGCAGTTCAAGTGTTGGCTTGTAGGGATTTGATTGGTTTACAGGATTTTATCGTGAGTTGACATTAGTTAGAGAACCACTGGAAAACCAGCTGGGAGTACTGGACAGCTGATTCGTCCTAGTCTGGGACCCTTCAGCAGTACGCAATCAACGAGGTTCCAACCCGGGACCTTCTGGTTACAAGGCGAGCTCGTATACCATTAAGCCACTGGGACCCGATCCAATGGCCAGCCTATGAATTCTGACCTCTGCCAATTCACGATATAGCGCAACCGCTAGCCAATGTCTTTGGCGAGTATTTGTCCTCACACCCGACTTGCTGCACCCTAATGGTCACGACTTCTCACTAGAACCCCAGGTGTTTGTTATGACTAATAAGATTAGTTAGACTGTAGAGTTTATATCATACTATGATGGTATGATACAGACAATGTGTGCCAACGGAATATTATTCTCACATATTCCCACAGTTCAATTCGGCATCAGCAACAGAATACGATGTATACTGAACATACTATTTCATATCCTTCAATGTAAACCAAAATCATACGCTCAATGATTGGTTAGAGAATATATATATGTATATAATTAGCGGTTTAATCACTTAGAAAATATACTTTGGCTTCCGTATCTCACCTTCTGTTGTTACAATACAACTAGATTGTAAACTTTTGGACAAAATAGGCAACAAAAACTACAACTTCATGATTTTGTATTTCTTCATATCTGCCCACTTTATTCAGAGCAAATGATCATCAGCTATATAAAACAAAAGTACATACATATTTAAATAGACCATGGTAGGCGAAGGTTGAAGTCTATTGTTTTTTGTACACATAGTTTAGGATGTATGTAATTAATCCAAAGTGCTGCCATCACCTTTAATAACCTTACATTAGAGTAATGTGGAAT